TTTGTCAGGTATTTTTTATTTATTCCTTCTTAGTCCTTTGTCAAATGTCCTTGTTAGTTTTTATCATATTTTGTTAACTACATTCTGTTTGCTAAGTTTTAGTTGACTAAAGGTCTGGGTATTTTAGTTTTGTTTTAGTCAGGCCAGACAAATACATACTTTGTTTTTAAACTACATTTAATCTTGTCTTTTTTGTCAACAATATTACTTGTTGATATAGTCACAGTTAGTGTTTATTGATGTTGAAAATAAACGTTAGCAAAACATATTTAGTCGTAGTTTTCATTATTAAAATGAACACTGCCCCAATCAAAGACAAACATTTTGATCAGCCTCACCGATGGAGGCCAGTATCTCCATGGTCCTCATGGTGGGCTGGATGTAGAACCAGAGCTTCTGCAGGGACAGCAGGCCCTGCCGCTGCAGGTGCTCCAGCTGAGTGACCAGGATCAGGTACTCCTTCATCAGGGTCCTCATGGCCGCCGTCAGCGCGTGGTTCACCTGGCCGTACTCAAAGGACGACTTCTCCTCAATGAAGCTGAACGATGAACACAACAGAACCATCTGATAATGTGTCCTCAGATTATAAATGTATATGAACAACTGACATATTTATATTCTTACCGTGTTATAGTGGAGTAATACGACGCAACTGGTAATATTCTGTTAACCAGTTCTTTGATGGACATGTCCAGCGTTGAATCCACGATGAAGGAGCGGTTCTGCCTCCCCAGGACAGGCTGAGCTGTGATGTCCCGCCCATCAACACCAACCAGGACAAACAGCAGATCCTCCACCAGAGCTTGTTCCTGAGCAGGCAGGGGCATCGTACCTGAGCGCAGAAAACCCAGGTATAAACACCAACAACAACAAATACAGTATTTTGAAGTAGAACACAACTCATTTCAGGTCGATGACGATCCAGTCAGGTGGATAATGAGCTAGTGTCGGGCTGCACACTGCAGAAATTAATTTCCAATGTGTTGGCTTACCGATGGCCACAGCTGGATCTCCTGAGGGGCCGGAGCTGGTGATGAAGTCTCCGAGGAGAGCAGGACGGTCGTACACCCAGTTAGGAAACACAGGGTTGGGCAGGGTGGGGTTCTTCTTGTTGTGTTTGTCCCTCAGCATCTTCCGTGTGACTTCAGCAGGCTACAGAAAACACAAATGATAAAGAGAGGCGGATTAATTAAGAGCTGATAAAAGGGCAAAATGTCATTTGAAGCTAGTATTGTTATGATTGACTCTCTTGCCATAGGCTTTGAGTCCTGATGGGACCTTAATAATGGCCTAAACAGCAAGTGTGTCGTAAAACAGTAGGTTGTTGACTCTGTTGAGGTAGAGGAAGAAAAGCACGCATCTAGATGGGATTGAAAATAATTGAACCCCTAACATCACTAAACCCACTAAACCCTCCAAGAGAAATCATTTCCATCCAAGTTGACTTCATCTGAATGGCCTGTTCTACATTGTGTTGGGCCAACCTAACCTCAGATCTGATGCATCTGAGTTATAATTGCTCACCAGTGGAGCGTTGGAGCTGGCCGTCACGTTGCCGAGCTTCTTCCGCAGCTCGTCCAGCTCCTGCATGGACATCTTGGTGCTGGTCTGAGGCAGACTGTAGCTGGTGGTCGTGGTTGCCGTGGTGTTTGTGGATGACTCTGACCTCTCTTTGGCATTTTGCTGCAGAAACTGGAGGGTCTACGGAAAATATCATGACATAGCTGTGAGACACTGTGATAAGAAAGCTTAACAAATGAGGTCAAACAGAGGTTTATCTCGCTTTCTTAACGTGGTGGAAAATCAACAAATCGAAGCACGTCTATCTCCTATTTACACAAGTCACAAGAGTTTTTTCTCTTGAAAGTTTGTGATGCAACCTAAAGAGTGTTAACTGTATATTTCCCTTGTCTGTTGACACTACTCCCATTGTTGAGAGAGGAATTATATAAACATATCAAAAATAGGATTCATTCTTTACACCATGATCACCTAAAATTAGGGGTGTAACGGTTCACAAACATTTCGGTTCGGTACGTACCTCGGTTTTTTGGTCACGGTTCGGTTCGGTACAGCAGAATTTTTTTTCACAAAACAAAACATATATATATATATTTTTATTATTATTATTAAACTGTGAATAATGTATTCACTCAAATAAATACAAAATATAATAAAATAAACATTAAGGTGCAGCATTTCGATGAACTGAAATAATCTGTATTTGAACTTTACTGTACTAGTACCGACTAGTACTCACAAAACATAAACTATTAGTTTTGGGTTTTTAATTATTATTAAACTGTGAATATTCACTCAAATAAATACAAAATATAATAAAATGAACATTAAGGTGCAGCATTTCGATGAACTGAAATAATCTGTATTTGAACTGTACTAGCACCTAAGCAGCCAGTTTGACATTATGACTTGCTTGTCATTGTATTTTCATGTTTTTTTAAAGAAAGATGAACTTGTCCACATTGCTGCTGAAAGGGCAGATCTGCTGGCACTAACAATGTCTCCTGCTGTGGAGAACACCCTCTCTCTAGGGACAGAGGTAGCAGATACAGCCAGGTAGCGCTTTGCTAACATGGCAACATAAGGATATTTGGCGTTTGTAATAGCTTTGGCTCGGTCTGAACTCTCTGCGAGTGGTGGAGGCTCACATGCTAGCGGGAGTTGGGTTTGCACTTCAGTATTTTTTCTTTTGGTACCGGTGATATTCACGTTCGAGTGATGCCTTTTCAAGAGTGTGCAAGTGTGATGTATTGCCAGCCGCGTAACCAATTGTCGTTGAACAATGCCGACAAACAACTTTGGTTCGGTCCACCTGTCTTTGTCCGTCATCCTTGTACGTAACTGCGAAACCAAAATGTTCCCAAACCGGAGACTTCAATGATGCTGGAGGATTTTCGAGCTCAACTTTATCTGCGTTCGTCATTAATTTTTGACAGTTCCTCAAATTACTGACTACATTTGAACGCATCCCTCTGACCAGCTCTCATAGTATGCCTCTCATCCAATGAAATGACTTGCTCGCTCTATGACGCGTTGAACCCAATGTGAGCAAATTACTCTGAATGCTGCGACGCAGCACCTGAGATTACTTCCAAAAAGTTATTCACGTTCTCAATTTTTTACGTTTAATGTTATATTCGTTCGGTACACTTCGGTACACACCTGTACCGAACCGAAGGGCCCGTACCGAAATACGTGTACCGTTACACCCCTACCTAAAATCCATTAAACCAAAGTGTGAAGTAAGTTTATCGGATGTAATAAACAAAGAAAAACAGATAATAAGCTGCTTGTAAACAATGTGTTACCTCTTTATCCTCACAGAGTTTGGACAGCAGGTAGACAAGAGGGTCGAGGTTTCGAACATTTTTGGACTTGAGCTCCTCGTACTTCCTCAAGAAGTCCTCGGGGGTTTTAGAAAACTCAGCTAATTTGACCTGAAAATTATAACAGGCAATATAGGAATATATTCACAATTAGCAACACATTTCAAAATTGTTGTGGTTCCTTCCACAGAAAGATATATTTATATTATATACTACAATTATGCCATTGTTCATCCAGATCCAGGCATGTATTTTAAACAATAAACATGAATAGCACATGCAAAGAGATGTCTCAGTAATTCATATTTATGTATCCATCTTCATAAGTTGCGACACAAGCATGAACTCAACAAAGTGCAATGTGCAGTTGATGCAGAAACATTTGTTGGCCAATGAGGCCTGCAAAAGTTCTTAATATCATCCTTTCATGCCACCTTATCACTTTCGGTGAAGTCTGTCACGTTGTAAGACTTTTGCCTGCTTATGAAGTTATACTAAAGCATGTCTGTTAACACTCACCTTAGCACTGTGAGAAGACACTGTAGTATTGACATAGGGAGTCCTGTGTTTCTGCAGCAAGTCGATGTAGCCCTCTGCTCCATCACCTCCTCGGACATGGAGCAGGCTCAGCAGCTCGTTCACATCATGGTGGATCCTGAACTCACTCATGGCTCAGTCAGCTGGAATAACACACAGTTTATTAAATGAAACAATAAAGAGAATAGACTAGCCCCATATAGAGATGGCTCCTACTGACCAACTTATTTAATTTAACAGATTTAGTCTCAACCAGATATTTTAAATGCGTGCGTGCACCATCTTCTCTTACGAGCTGTGATGCTGAGCTAACAGTCAACAGTTATTTGATGCTAGCTTGGTAACTGCCTCGGGTAAAATAAACCATTAGGATGCTAACTGCGTAGCTAACTTATAAACCATGAAATATATAATTAATTGAATTGTAATAACAACGTTACTCAGTAATAATAAGCCTTATTACAGGTGTAACCAGAGTCTCAACAAGCACTATACCTGTCAGCCGTGTCTGTTTCAATACACAGCAAACAAGCACCAGTCGCGCCCACAGCCAGTCAAATCCTTCTTCTTCTGTTGTAACCGGGGCGGGGATGGCGCCACACTGCCCTCCAAAGGTTACAAAAGAATCCTACAACAATGCTTTTATTTCTTATTTTTATAGAACATAAATATAAAGAAAAAATATACCCAAAAAAAACTAAACAGAAAGGGAATTCATTTACAATGATGGAGAAAATTATGTTATCATAAATATAAGCGTAATTGTAAGCTATATACTGTCAAATATATGTCCCTTTCTGTCATTTATGATTTGTCTTATATATATGGCTATATCATTATTAATGTAAAAATAAAGGTATCATGCTCAAAGGGTGCCTGTTAAATAAGATATATTTGTTATATTTTTTAAATAAATGTTTTTTATAAACACTGTGTGTTTTTGTAGGGGAAAGTGCAACATTTTGGTGCAGGGCATCTGGGCAATATCTGTGCAGATTTCTCTATATTATTTCACATATATTAACATTTTAATAAATGTTATTATTTGGGAGGCTAAACTTCCACCTACCAAATATTACTTTTAGCTTTTATTTTGAAAAACGACGACACAGCGGAAGTAAACAGTAATCACGTTACAAGGGTGACAACCCGGAAGAGCTGCCTTTCTCTGATTAACGTTTGAATAGACAAGAATGAGCAATTTATCTTGAGAAGAAACGATTAAACGCGATGCTGTTAACATCGTACAGCCTTTGATAATCATATCCGTGTCTTAATCTTCGGCGCTGGAGAGACAAAGGCGGTCGAGCGCGAGCAGCAACGCCCTGATGCCAGCCGCCCCGTCGGAGAAAAATACCCTCTCCGCTCTGTTTACAAATCGGCTGGGCGAAAGTGTTTCCCCGCAGTGTGTCGTTAGCTAATCGTGTGTGCTTTTCAGACGAATAGAAAACATGGCTGAACTGCATGTCGTGGAGTCGAGCAGCACTGGCACCATAGAGCAGCCCGAGCAGCACCGCGATGTCCGGGGCTCTGTGCGCCTGGCGTCGCCCACTCTCATGGTTCCTCCGCGGAGCAGCCAGCTCAGCCCCGGCGGGGTGTCGAGCGGCAGCGGCGGACGCTCTGTGTTTGGGTTCCCGGGGAAGAGCAACCCGAGCTCCCCGTCCGAACCGGCGGACAAGCCGGGCTCGCGCTGGGTTCGCCTGAACGTCGGCGGGACCTACTTCGTCACGACCAAACAGACGCTGTGTCGGGACCCCAAATCCTTCCTGTCCCGACTGTGTCAAGAAGACCCCGACCTGGACTCCGACAAAGTGAGCACACACACACAACTTATTGGGCTTAATTGGATTTGTTTATAGTTTTGTTCATTATAAAGCCCAGTAGAACTAAAGCTAGAAGTATCTTTGGATCCTAAAAGCGAGATTCACTGTTTCCTTCATGATATGTATCCGTTTGTCCTAATTGTAAGGTATTTTTGGTGATATGCAGTGGTGAAATATGTACTATTAGCAAAACAAAAATATAGAAATACTCCTACAGTCAATAAGAGAAGAGTTCGAATACAAATCCTCAAGTTGAGTTCCATTTACTAGGGTGTTGTAATATTTACAAGAAACTTAGTTTACTTTAGACAAAGAAAAGCACCAAAACAAAAGGCATAAACTTGGTAGTTGGTAAAAAAATAATTTTAACATCAGTCGATTGGCAACATATTCATACCAACATACTAATTAATATGAAAAAGAGAAACACTTTAACAGCTACTGTTGTGACATTGGAAAACAAATGTGTAGGGAGTTAACAATAATATTGATCCGTTATCTTTATTTAGCAATTAAACAGCTTCTTAATTTCTATATTCAAACATATAATCGGCAATAATGTTATGAAATGTCTTGTTATTGATACAGAAATATCCTTCTTACACTAAAATAGTCGCTGTGTGGCTCCTATTCAAAGCGTCTCTTTAACGAATATGTTTTCCTGGACGTTATCTGATTCAACATTTGTCCCTTTTCCCATTTCTGCAAAGAGACTACAGTATTTACAAGAAGGGAACCAAATCCCCATCACACATGTCGTCCCTTAATTTGCTCCCACAGGATGAGACTGGAGCCTACCTGATCGACAGGGACCCCACATACTTCGGCCCCATCCTGAACTACCTTCGCCACGGAAAACTGATCATGGATAAAAATCTGGCTGAGGACGGTAAAATACTTTCATCAGGATTTATTTTGCTCAAACATCATGCAAAATCTTTGTCTGGGAATATTCATTTTGAGTGTATACAAACCACACAATGAAGTCTGTTTTTTGTGTCAGGCGTTCTTGAGGAAGCCGAGTTCTACAACATCGCATCACTGGTGAGGCTGGTGAAAGAGAGGATACGGGACAACGAGAACCGAACATCCCAGGTACAGAGAAAACTCCAGTACAAACACAACAAAAATAGCTTTCTTTGATCTGTGTGCAGATTGTTGATGTTGTTCTGTGTGTTTCTGTCCCTCAGGGCCCTGTGAAGCATGTGTACCGAGTACTACAGTGCCAAGAGGAGGAACTCACACAGATGGTCTCTACCATGTCAGACGGTTGGAAGTTTGAGCAGGTGCACAAAATACACATTTGTTTTCCCTGTTGTCATGTTTCAGTTCATGCATCAGTTGTTTCAAAGCTACGCTTTGGAGATCAGCCCCGCACATTTATCAAAAAACATATTTTTTCTTCTCTTCAAATAGAAAAGTGAAGAGAGATAATTATATTCAGGCATCTATTTGAGATTTTTTTCATATTTAGTATTGTGAATGTATTCAACAGAGCTGATATGTAGGATTACAATTCACATTTTTGGCAATAGTGCCAATATCCTCCACCATGTAAATCGTGCTCTATAAAACTGAGAGAAAAAGACAATCATCATGTTTGAAATGCTGAACTCAGAAAGAATACTAACATAACATAAAAGTGTACTTCATAATTCTTACTTTGGTCTTTTTGCCTGTCCTCAGCTCATAAGCATCGGCTCCTCTTATAACTACGGCAACGAGGACCAGGCAGAGTTTCTATGTGTAGTTTCCCGGGAACTGAACAACTCCACCAACGGCATCGTCATCGAGCCCACCGAGAAGGCCAAGGTGAGCTGATCACGAGTAGCTACACCAGTGGCGAACCGTGTCTATCACAACTGGACCTTCTGTAGACACACACACCCCCCGCGGCATTATAATGTCCGTCTTTTCACTGAATTATCGTCTTGAAAAGGGTACTCACAACAATTCCGCAACAACTTCATCTTCACCGGTTGCACTTGTGATTTCAACGTTAAAAACAATAAAACGGCATGAATTGCTTCGTCGCATTCGTTCTAGATCCTCTGTCTCGAGCCAGTTAACTAGCCTTCTAGAATACACTGGAACCGAGGGAACCTCTGAAAGAATACGCCCATTGGCTACAAATCAATATATGATTGGTTGATCAAACTGTCAGTCCAAACGTACGCTCTCATTCGGTGCAACGGCCAGGGCATTCTATCAAGGATGTAGAATACCTGGTTGAAGGATATTCTACCCAGAGACCCAGAACAAGATCTGATTGGTTGCTTTCTTTTCTAACACAACACCACTGAAATACGTAGTGCATGGTCCGAGAAGGACAAACAAATCAACGTAACACTGTAATATTACAGATCAACAACACAGATACCATTCTCATTTATTCATTGTATATACATTTTATTAATTAAATCGATTTTTTGTTTGTTTTATCTGAGTGTTCCAGGGTATTCTCTGAATACCTTGAAGGCCCTGACGGTTCGCCACTGAGCTACACACGCTAATCTATATTATTGTTTTTGTCAACAACTCCCATTAAAAACAAAATCTACCATAAAAAGACTAGCAAACATTTTTGTTGCATGGACAGCCTTATATGAACTGTACTTTCTTTTCACTTCTTAACGTGACAATCTGAGAAGGGGAAAACAAGTTGGGAATCAATTACCTACAAAACCAAATGTGTATTAATCCGCCGCTGAAAGTAGTTTCTAACAAATGTTTTCTGTTTGAGTGATGTTTTCTGTTTGAGTGATGTTTTCTGTTTGAGTGATGTTTTCTGTTTGAGTGATGTTTTCTGTCCTTTTTTTCCTTCATCAAATTAAACATATTTTTGAGCCGTTTTGTCAGATTGACATCAGTAGGAGTTAATGAATTTGAAGCGGGGTGGATCAGAGCCACTTTCTTTTTTGTGGGATTTATTGACAAAAAGAACAAATATTATATCATGATTAATTTGTTGTTCATGGTTTTTTACCTACGATTCAAAAAGCAAAACATTAAACTTAAAAATCATATAAAAGAGAAGTGAAAAGTTGATCCTCACAATTGAGAAACTTAAACCTGAATATACATTTTCTCCTTAAACAATTACTTGATCACCCCAGCTTTAATTACCTGAAATTAGGCAAATGATTTTTTGATTTCCACTGACTTATATTTCCATCTGTCCTCACAGATCCTCCAGGAGCGAGGCTCGCGGATGTGAGGAGATGAAGCGCTGAGCTAAATAACACTTTACCAACAAAAAAAAGACAATAACAAACATTTCCTCCAGTTTTCATTAAAGACCCATGAGTTCCCCTTCTACCTTTCTAACATCACCTCTGTCTACATCGTCATCGACGCTCGCCCCTCCTCCTCTGGTGTGCCTTTCCACAGCGGGGTCTGCCGACGCCCCCCCCCCCTCCAGTGCTGCAACACCACGCGGATGTTCCTCCTCCTCCGTGGCCGGCTGTGGAACACTTCAGGGGGAGTTTTAAAAAGGGATTACCAGTGAGTGTTTTCTTCCTCATAGCAGCTTTTCTTGATGGTCAGTGTCACTGCGGTGCAGGCAGGCTACAGTACTGATTGTAGCCCCGTATTATTGTCAGCGGATGGACGCCCAGCTCAAAGCTACTCTAAATCATCATCATCACTTCTACTTTTGGCTAAGCAGGAACCTCCTCAGGACTCTCAAAGGACGTAAAGGAATGAATACCGCTCCTCTGTCTGAGCCTCTTTACCTGAATCTGGGAATGGAGCGACTGCCGCGTCTTGATCTGCACTCCCAGAATCCTCGGCTGATTTCTGAGGCAACACACAGAGCCTGGAGGATGAAGGGCGCAGGATTTGAAGGCAGCGTGACGCACAGTCTCTGTTTGAGCCATCCTTGTGCAGCATTTCAGTCTTTAAACACTTTGAAAGAGTAAACGACCTTACAGGTGTTTCTGTTCCGTTTCGCTGTACAAATCACAACATCCTCCTGTTTCCTGTCCCTGGGCTCGATTTGGTCTCTACTTCCCAGGGATAATAATGTCCACGCAAAAAGAAAACTGAAAAAAAGAAAAAAAAGACTACACTTGTGTACAATTTGTCCAGGCATGTGAGGAATCTTAATATAGATCTATATAGGCTACATGATGAAATTATATGAAATGCAAAATGGTGTAAGTACTGATTTCTGTATCATAGTTGTTATATATTTACATATGGGTCTATTTAAACGATGGAGAAAATATCATTATTCATAATCATGAATTTTTTTCTGAAAGTTTCCCGCCCGGTAATATGGTGTGTGTACGCAGTGCCTCGCTGCTTTCTGTCCATCACTTAAATATCACGTTTTATCAAAAAAACAACATCCAAGTTTTCTCTACGATATCCTACTTCGAATTCTTGCATATCTTAAAATTGTAATTAGAGAAAACTGTCATTTGTCCAGATAAAGAGGCGGGGACTGTGGCCAGTGTACGCTGTGCTCTTTTCATGCCGATGTTCTCCCAACTTTCAGCTGCCTCTCGACTTACCACCCAAAAATCTGTGTTGTCCTACATTCTGCAGCACTTGTAGCAACTGAGTTCTTTGTGCTTAAACCCTGAGATACCTGAGCTTACATTATCACAGAGATTTACAGACTGTAAGCAAACCTACCGCATTATTTCAGATCTTATGTGACACTGTTTTTATTGGCTAAAGTACGTTTCTCTTTAAGTATACTTGAGTTGCTGTGTGATAGTGCTGTTTTTAACACAACATTGGAGCAACATGCAAATGAAGTCTGAAGTTCTATTGAAATAATAATAATAATAATAATAATGGGTTCCATTTATAAAGCACTTCATATTTGATTTCAAATCCCGAAGTGCTACAAGTAGTGAGCATGAACAGTATAAATAAACATTACACAACACGGTAGAATTAATAAAAAGCAATAAAAAGGACTAGGCAAAGGCTCTTTTGAAGAGATGGGTTTTGAGGCCTTTTTTAAAAGCCTCCACGGTCTGTGGTGCTCTCATTTGGTCGGGGAGAGTATTCCACAGACTGGGAGCAGCCGAGCAGAAGGCCCGGTCTCCCATAGTACGGAGCTTAGTCCTGGGGGGTTTGAGGAAGTTGGAGTTGCAGTAGTGCACTAAATTGAAGGCAGAATATGTGTCAAATACCATTCTGCCTGAAGTATTGGTACTGCAGAGAAATCCTGGCCAACAGATCCTGAGGAAGAAAATCAAATGAATATACATTTCAATGAAAATGAGAATAATGATGACCAATATGTTTTTCAAATCGTTTAACACTTATGGAAACCTACATTAGATATTGAATGCTAACCCTGAACACACTAAACAATTGTTAGGTCAAATTGGTATGCTTCATAGCTTTCAAATCATGTATAAGCAATATGCACTTTAAGTCAAGTACAGGTGAATTGGCTCATATCTAAAATGTGCATTTACTAAATCAGCAGGGGTAAGTAACCGGAGCTGATGACTGAAAATAAATCATTGTACATTTTTGTGTTTTTCCTCTGATAAAACACAAGACACTTTGATGTTTCCATAGGTCAAAAAAATATTAAATTCTTTAGTATTTTCAGACGTTTTTAGAACTTAGCTATTCATTTGTTTATTGAGAAAGCTATCCTAGCCTATCGGCAAAAACAGTTTAATCTATAAAATGTCAGAAAATAATGAAAAATGCATGTGGTAATGTCTTCTAATTTCTGGTTTCGCTTCAACCTACAGTCAAAAAACAAAAATTATAACTCAATGATATAAAACAGAGAAATACGGAAAATCTTGACATTTGAGAAACTGAAACCATTAATTTTAGAGCCGTTAATTCACTAATGGATTTACCACTAAACCCACAAATGTATGCTAATAGCTGTTATTAAAACGTTGTTACTGGTTTCATTGCGGCCTTGTTAAATGAGCAGCTTAAAAGTTTGGTCCACAACACATATCAGATCAAAACATTTCGTGCAGCCAGGCCTCACGTTTTAAATCCTGGCACGTGAAAGCTAGATCTTTAACCGATCACTTTGATACACCCTTAGTTTGTATAAAGCGCATATTTGATGCAGTTATGTTATATCAAGCATGAACAAAAAAAGAATGCAAGAAAAAAGAAACTGTACCTGTGCTGACGTCATTCTCCCCGATGCTCAGTCAGGTCTCGGAGCTCAAACTTTGATGTGACTACTTCTTCTTCGTTGTTTTATTTCCTCTTGCTGTGTTGTGCAGTTTGATTCTGCTTTCCTGAGAGTTGTGAGCAGACTGAGCGTTGCTATAAAATGCTCCAAACGTCTCATTGAGGAGCTTTTTTTCCCTCCCTCCCCTTTGTGGTTTCTCTGGGCCTTTTGCAAAGCACCTTGGGTGTTGTCTCCCCTTCGTCTGTGTCCAGTGTCGTGCCTTTTGACCTGTGTTGTGCACAGTTGTTCTCCCCTCTTATCATAAGGTGCCTCTCATACCTTAAAAAAAATCCAGGAGGCACCTGCCTGAGGTGTAATGCGGTCTTTAGCTTGTTTTCAATTTCAGTGTTTCAGGGAGAGGCAAGCCAAACAAACCTGTTGTCCCCTGCTTTATTTTACAATACCGACAAACTCCAAATGATAACCAGCTGCTTTCTTTGTGCCATTGCTTTGTGCTGCCCCTTATCACTCCTGGAGGTTCAGAATTGTGTCCCAATCTGCTGTAAACACTGCTGGTGGTTTGGCTTTATAACATTTTTTATTGAAAAATAAGGAAGGAGCACTCGGCAGCAGAAAGATCATTCACAGCTGACTACCCTGCTGCTCTTATCTTTAAAAAAAAACACCAGTGCACTTGTCATCAGATAAGGATTTGACTTAGAACTCCACCTCTATTAGCTTCTTCTTCTTTGGTTATTGGGTTGCAAGATCTATCCCTAATGATCCCATTGTTAAATGTGTGTTATTAACATCTTAAAGCACTTACTGTTCCCCATCAACTTCGTGGACCCAGTTGGATCTTCCCTTGGTTGTATAGTTCAGTGGTTCCCAAACTGAGGGTGTAGCCCCAGAAGTGGTCGCAAGACTGCTAAAAAGATGGGAAAGCAACAATATATACTCTTTTTTTCCCTGTAATTATAGTTGTTTTTTGTATCTTAGCCATGCTAGTATCGTAGGTCCAAATAGATCAACAACATGTCGTATTGAACAGATATTCATGGTTCCCAGAGGATGATCCCTGGCTTTTCGTCTGTACTACATCATTTTCTCTTAAAGGTTAAGAATATGATTTTTGATTCAATTATATTATAAGAACATGCAACATAATTTAAAAGAAACAGCTGGTTAATTAAACAAAGTGGCAGTATAAAATATGTATACATATAATTCATTTTGTAAACCTTATTTGTTCCCTATTTGTCAAAAGTCTCAATCATTTTGGATTGGGTACCTTGAAAGTGCTTAAAAAGTGCTTAAATGTTACTCTTAGAGATCTGTATGACTTCTGTAATGACATTTCCTTCACCAATAGCTGTACCTTTTAAATACAGTAGTGCTAATCAAAGACATTTTGAATGCAAGTAAGATAATTAATGAGGTAAAAAGTATACGTGCTAAACATTAGCATGTTAGCTCAAAGCAAAACGTACAGCCTTACAGAACCATCGCTATGGCTGTTGTTTTTTTCTCTGTTAATGTTTCTTGTGAATCACCACATGTTTTACTTCTTGAGGAATTACAAAAATGATTTCAATGAAAAGAAAAAGAACATGATAAGGGCGGCTAGTGTTTGATTGTTGACGTAATGTTTCATATGAAAATGGCAGAAAATTCTGTTTGCCATCCTCTCAATATTAAATTCTTCTGCTTTTCTCAGTTTTATCTCAAATTAAAGTAAATATCTTTTGGTTTTGGAATGACAAACAGAAAAGTAATCAATAGTTGCAACCCTTGTCAAAAGCCAAACAGTTTGCAAACCACTGACCTTGATCTGTGATTATCTAGACATTTCGAATCAAGCACCCTTTTTGTAAGAACAAAAAAAATAGAACTAATGACCATTATAGTTTTTACTTTCACATGCACTAGTTAGCCTACAGATTATGTGCAATTTTAAGAAATAAAATATATACATATATAATATAAATATATCTGTTGTTTGGGCACGTGAAAACACAAGAGCATGCATTGTTCTAGAGATTATGATGTGTACTGTGTACTGGATTTTGTCTGACCCATGTGTTGGTGCAAAGTGTATGTGATGCATGGTGGGGGGAGCAGAGGAAGGCATGGCTCTGTGTTTGTAGGTGTAGATGTCTTGTGTTGAACAGTTGGTCTACAACTAGACATATTCTCTACTCACATCTTCTGCTTTTTGTATCTTTGTCACGTCGGTTTAACTTAAATACAGAATAGCTAGCTTTTGAAATTAACCAACCAATCAGATTGTAGACCCTGCCCCCCTCTTCCTCGCCCCTAACCTTGGTTTATAAAGCATTTACGCAGCCCAACACACAAAAGAAAGATTTTTTAATCCATGGATCATTTAGCCAGTTAACCTGTAAACACCTGCATGCGTTTGTGGACATGCACACTTGTACACTCATTTAGAGGTATTGAATAATATCACCTATTAAACGTTACTTTGTGTTCATTTATCAACAGTATTTGATGTCCAATGTGAATATCGTCAATTGAGACTGTGCAGAATTTTTTTCGGAAGCTGACAAAAAACTGTTTTTGTCTGATTCTTTGTTTCACTTTTATTTATTTTATATTTTTTTGAATTTTGTCTTCCAATGTTGTTCTTTTACATGTAACACATTTTAACCAAACCCTGTCTGGTTTTTAATCATAAAATGTGTCTGTGTTTTAAAAAATGTTGACTCACTGACTGTTTGTTGGCTAGTGTGGATTTAAAAATGGTAGACCTAGATAAAGATTTAAAAAGTTACACTTAGCCACCTGTTCTAGTCAGTATTGTTTTACTTGCTATTTTTTATTTCACGCATATCACACACTGGTGTTATTCAGTGACCGGTATCAAAACCCGTGCAAATAAAACCGAAATGGTGTGAAAAAAAGTGAGAATGGTACATAGAGAAGATATTTTACATTGTAAAATGTTGGGACATTTTGTAAAACACATTTCATTTGAGTTCTTTGAACCAATGGAGAAAAAAAACATTGCTATTATCCAAGGGCAATATTGTAGATTACTTTTTTATTTTACAATTTGAATAATTGGATCACATAAAAAGATGAATAAGGTAATAATAAAAAACATATCACTTATTATATGGTTTATTTGATGGTATATCAATAAATATTTTCATCTATATAATGTCTGAAAATTGTAAAAATATCCATCACAGTTTATCAAAGTCCAAAGTGATGTCTTTAAGTGTCTTGTTTTGTCCTTTGGAAAAACTAAGATATTCATTTAAATATCATAATATAATTTATCTAAAATGAATTTAATAATATTGTCATTATTTTTCTGATCAATGAATTAGTCGACTAATCAATGCAACACCAATAATAACATATCAGAATGTATAGGTGGATTGAAATCTTGTGTTAATCTGAAACTGTCAAATAAATAGTGGAGTAAAAGGTACGATATTTCCCTCCGAAATGTAGTGTAAACCCTGCTGAAAAAAACAGCTTAGACGAATTTAGCAGGCTGGTCAACCAGCCTGACCAGCTAAATTGACCAGCCAGTAGATATTAGGCTGAAATGGTTGGCTGGTGGTTGGAGGGGTTTTGGACACTTTAGGCTGGTTAAACCGGCCACCAGCTAAACCCAGTATACCAGCATAGTATACTGGTATGTTGGGCTGGTCACCAGCATCCATCGATCACCAGCTTATGTTTAATAATAGTATTAAATATACCATGCTGGAAGCTTACCAGGATTCCAGGTGACCAGCATACATTGTTTAAATACTGGTATAATTATTTAAACTAGAGAACATAAATATATTACAAAGATTCATTGAGTCATATATTCTGGTATCTACCAAAATACATACAGTATAGTGTTCATAACACTATTTCAATTCAATAAATAGCAATAAATAGCTAGTTAATAATAAAATACACAGTAACAATACAATAATTATGTAAATAACAACCAACCTGCAAATCAACCTATACATCAAAAATAAATATATTATCTAAAACAGGTGCATTTGATTTAAAATAAAAGTAATAAATATAATTCAATATTTAAATGGTAACAAAAACAGTAACAAGAAAAAGGCAACAAAGAAAGTGTTTTTTCTTGTTCATGTCCATAATGTTTCCCGTTGTGTAGCGTCCAGCCTTTCCCAATCTGGCCTGCATTCTGTCTGTTGAAGCCACTTCTTGAAGCAAACTGAAAATAAATGTACAGATATAAGTACACTAGCTAGCTGTAAAAAGAAAACTTGACATTTACGTTAACATTTGGGCTGCTGTGGTTGCCAGAACTTGACCATTAAAGTATGTAAAATACATTACAAATTACAGTTGGTTGGCATCATAGTCAACAATTGCTTAAGGTGAATTACAATGGCAAAAACAAATAGAGCTAGTGTACAATGGTGCAGCTGTATTATCTGGGAAATAGAAGAATCGAATCAGGATTCGCTATTGGCAGACAATCAATATCAAATTAATCGGATCATTATTAGCATCAGCATGTGATCACCTTTGTCGACTTGCAGCCTAAATACAAAGATAACTCCACTCCTCTCCTACCACTCATACCTCTAATAAGCCTTGGTATAACTAGTGTCCGAGTCATAATAGGGTCCAGAACTGACTGAAGACGTGGAACAGAGTAATTTATGCACAAACTAATTACTTGTACTACAACATTTGAATAATCAGTTCTTCCTGATTTTCCTCAATTGTTCATATTTGGTTTATTAAAATTATTATATTGTGGTCGTTGTTAAAGGAAAAAAAGGAGGGTGACATTTCTGCTATGAGTATTATTTTTATAATGCCTTCCTGTCATTATCAGGAGTTAGAAATGTAATAGCCTAGTCTAGAACCTTCATTATCCTAAACTGCTGGGACATTTCCCTATAGCGAATATAGGCCTACCTTTATATGTTCTAGCCTACTCTTCACTTACTTGTCAGCATAGGTCGACCGTCGGCATTGATATACAGAGCCGACAAAAGACCATATTGGCATCATATTGAAGAAGCCAACTCCATCGATCAAGCCAGTGTGGCTGAAACTTTACCAGCAAGAACAGCCTGGCCAGCAAGACCTGCCTGGCCAGATTGTCCAGCTTTACCAACTAAACCAGCAACCATCTTAAACTGGTCTATGGTGTTTTTTTCAGCAGGGAAGTATAGCATAGGCCTACATGTAAATACTCAAGTAAAGTGCGCTAGAAATTATGTAAACGGGTGTGCTATTTGGTACACTGCACCATTTCAAAGTAATAAATAATATAAATATGCCAGTATTTCAGTAGAGCCTCCCCCTGCTGTTCACCACACAGGCCTTCGGTAGGACCACACCTCTCCGGGAGCTGCCGCGCAACCGACCCTCCCCTCCGGGCCACCTCAGTCTCCTCCCACCGCGAGCGGGCGGATGCTGCTGGAGCTCCGCGACGAGTTGCACCAGTCCCTGATCTGTCAGCGGTCTGCCCCATGGTACTACCCCGCCAGTCATCGAGGAGCGACCGCGCCCGAGTGTGTGGGAACGACGGGGAGCTAGACGACCATAACCAACAATAAAAAAAGGTGATGTTTCAGCATTTGTTTGTTAATTCACGGAAGACATTGATGGTTAAACCGCTTCCTCTTGACTCCGAAGTGCTGACCCAGTGATGTTTAGGGTGATATCACACTTTAGGAACAGAAGACGTGGTAATACTTCTTTGGAAGCGAGACTTCTGCCGAGAGAATATGATTTGATGTGACAGGGATGTAATGGAGTCTGCACCGTGTTTATGTGCATCTTTCCATCCGAAAACAACACGAAATCCTAGCGAGTTTCCACGTGGGTGGATGTGTAAAAAAAACTGCGCGTTAATACAGTTTAAAATGTGAAAATAAGTCATCTTTAATGCGGATAATGGCTAGTTTCTGCTGCCTTATTCAAGTAAACAAATTCCACTTTATGACATGTTAAACAGGCGACTCTTACGCAGCGCTCACATCCCTCCATGGGCTGTCCCACAGCAAGGATCAGCTGTCCAGCATCACTTGTATTTATCTGTATGTTCTCTACAAACACCTTTAGGGACACTTATTTTTGTATTTGCATGATTACACAAGGCTGCAGGAAAGGGAGCTGGAGGTGAAACAGTAAAAACATTGCTCTGTGGATCAGATTGCAGAGATATGTGAAGCCTGCCTACCGCCCCTCACTGATCCTTTACACACTCAGTAAGAGGAATATGAAGGGAAGGAACCAGACAGTCATGCTGAAAAACATTCCTGCCATTTGGTTCTGGTCTATAAAGTGCTTTACCAATACTGTTCTGAACTTATTTCCAGAAAACAACAAAAGCTTTTTCTTACCATTAGGGGATTTTTTTTCTATTTATTTCACAAAAGGTAGACCGCAATTTAATTTCAATAAGAAACGGATTTGTGTGAACCTGCATATTTGCTTCATTGCCAACTGCCAAGACCACTAGAGTAAATATCAAACTACCGCTCAACCTAACTTTGCACAAAGCCACAAACGCGCAAGTGGAAATAAATTAGAATAATAATTTCTTGATTTTTGTGATGGAATATACATTATTTTCTGTCTTTTAATAAATATAGTGTGGTGCAAAGTCTGACTTCACACTACAGAAATGTCTACTCTAAAATCTGATTTTTTTTTAGGGGATTTTAAATGATTGTTTTTTTCTCCACACTTTACATTACCACTCGATTAACCAGCTGGAACTCCAACGTGCATCCTTCCTGTTACATGCTTCTCCACCCTTTAAGTTCCATTAGCCCAGAATACATAGGACAGGCTTCTCTCTGCACAATATTGGTAGACAATAATGTTTATTAATGTTTTTTTCATGGTTGTCTGTACGTCCATTCCATTGAATGTGATGTCTCACAATAGCCTTGGGGGAATAGCTTAACATTTGGAACAAACTAAATCATGAACTAATAATAATTAGAAAGAAACATTTTTATAGGCCATTCTTTGAAAAATGAATATGCGATTTAGGACAATTTTACACGTCTATTAGGATAGAACATATAAAGGCAAACAAATCCTAGTATTTCTAGTTTTTTCTATTTTCACTTGAAACTGTTACAGGATGTTCATTCTCCACTAAAGTTCACTTTTCAAGTATTCAATCCACAAAGGAGTGCAGAAAAACAGACTAATACCACGTGGAGTTCAATCCATTTGTTTATTGACTTTCCGCTTTATAGCGTTATGGAGATATGAAATGAGCTATAACCCAGATGTTGGACGTATCGCTCAGCCCTGATGTACATAACAATAAGCCACACTTTGAAATACAAACTGCCAAAGATTGTCCATATATCGCACTTTTTTTTTAAAGGTAATTCAAGTATTTTCTTATAAGTTATTTGTGAACATGCATTATGTTGCAATGTTTTGCTTTTTGCAACATGTGTTGATTCAACTAATTGGTATGCAGACTGATAAGCACTTCAAGTTATACTGATATGTTTATCTGTATTTTCTGATCATGTGATTTAGTGTTTTTGTTTAAATGTAAGTAGTTTTCCTTTTGTTTGTCTCTTTGTGTTGTGATCATGAGCTAAAGCATTTGTAAAATATTCTAAATACATATATGTGAAATATTTGAAGAGACAGAGTGTACAGGACATTTCTGAGTACAGTAACATTAGCTATTAATCACATACTCAGCAACTTAACCTTAGGGGATGTTGCTCTGCTCAGTCGTCGGTACATCTGGAAATAATATGAAGAGTCTCCAGGGGAAATTCTACTGGAGCATTTGCACAGAGGGCCATTCATACACAAGGGTTTTCATAAGTGCATGCTAGTCTCATGCTAGCCAGATGCCCCTTGCATCCACTATTTAACCTTGCAGGCCTCTCCTTTGTTAACAGGATTTTAAACATCTAGGTGTGGATTTTTGCCGATAAAACTGGAGCACATCTACACTGAACATGTGAGGCATGCTGCACGGGAGGTTAGAAGTCAAAGGGTTGTTTTAGAGTTCCTGAAGTGTATGTCAACATTTTAGCAACGTAACATCTGTCAGCTCAGGAGCAAAATCAATAAAAGGTCTGTGACAAATGTAACTTCGTCACTATGGACTGACGGCTTCAGGCCGGGTAATATTGCACTTTATTAGCGTGATTGCACAGTACAGTTGACATTACATATTTGCACATAATTTATACTAATTATTGAGGTAGTGTCTTTTAACTGATTAAACCGTATTTATTGGAATGTTGTCTGGCAGCTGCTGGTCGGGTCCTCGGCTCCGCCTGAAAAGATAGGGGAGTTTGCGAGAGCGCCGAGAGGAGTTATGCTGGTGTAAGGATGACAGCGGTTGAGAGTAATCAGGGTGCAAATAATATGTTGATGTCTGTGGCTGATGATTGTGTGCACCTGGTGTCCTGTGTTGTCTCCTCCCCCCTCACCTGTGTCTTGTTGTGCTGAATAGAGTGTGTGTATTTAGGCTCTGTTTCCCTGTCTGTTGAGGAGGCTGGTAGTGTGGGTGAGATCCTTGTGGCTGCTGACTGTGTTCAGGGGAACAGCAATTGAGGCTGTGAATCATGTGCTTATGATTTTAATAAATGCCCACACCGGGTTATATTTTTGGACGTTCTGCCTCTGCCTCCTTGCTTGGTCGGGCCGCTCAATTGTCAGCTTCACAATTGGTGTCAGAAGTGGGATTTGACCAAGTAAGGAGGTGAAAATTACGAGAGGAAAGAAGAGGGACCAAAGAGAGGAACCGCGGCTGGGGGTGGCTATGCCTGGAACGGACCAGGGGGCCACGGCTGTTGAGGCAGCAGGAGACGAGAGACAAGCAGCAGGAGACGAGAGACAAGCAGGAGGAGCAGCGTTTGCAGGCCGAGGAGGCGGACCCGGACCCATGAGGAGTCGACAGAACCTGGGTCGTGCTAGAGGCAGACCAACGCATTACAACAGGACAAAACAGCTTCCGGATAAGTGGCATCACGACATGGTTGACAACGGCTTCACTGGCCCCGCTGGAGGTGGCGGAGGAGGCGGCGTTGAAACCGGGTGGCTGACTGGTTGTCCCGAAGCCGAGACTTTTAAGACACTGTGCTTCCTGGGGAGAGGGGGAAGGAAATGTGACGAATGTAACTTCGTCACTATGGACTGACGACTTCAGGCCGGGTAATATTGCGCTTTATTAGCGTGATTGCACAGTACAGTTGACATTACATATTTGCACATAATTTATACTAATTATTGAGGTAGTATCTTTTAACTGATTAAACCGTATTTATTGGAATGTTGTCTGGCAGCTGCTGGTCGGGTCCTCGGCTCCGCCTGAAAAGATAGGGGAGTTTGCGAGAGCGCCGAGAGGAGTTATGCTGGTGTAAGGATGACAGCGGTTGAGAGTAATCAGGGTGCAAATAATATGTTGATGTCTGTGGCTGATGATTGTGTGCACCTGGTGTCCTGTGTTGTCACCTCCCCCCTCACCTGTGTCTTGTTGTGCTGATTAGAGTGTGTGTATTTAGGCTCTGTTTCCCTGTCTGTTGAGGAGGCTGGTAGTGTGGGTGAGATCCTTGTGGCTGCTGACTGTGTTCAGGGGAACAGCAATTGAGGCTGTGAATCATGTGCTTATGATTTTAATAAATGCCCACACCGGGTTATATTTTTGGACGTTCTGCCTCTGCCTCCTTGCTTGGTCGGGCCGCTCAATTCTCAGCTTCACAAGGTCATTGCTTTCTTTTTTTGTTGATTAGATTAGTGTACAAAACATGGCCACCAGAAGATTTAAGCACATTTCTCCTGGGTTTCCCTGCACCATTGACTATTATTGCTTAATTATAATGAACATGCAGTCATTTGTTCACTAATCCGAAGAATGGCTGTTTGATCCAGGGCTTCTCCATTCTGCTATCATTGAATCCTGCGCCATCGGTGTGTGAGTGAGTTTTTGAGTGGCGCTACATAATTGCAAGCCCACTTAGGCGAGATACTGAACCCCTAATTTGCTCCCGTAGGCTGTGCCATTGGTGTGTGAGTGTGTGAATGAGCATTTGATAAGTGGGTTGGCAAATCAGTGTGTGTATAGGGAATGTTGACATGTAAAGGCACTATTCACTACGATCTGCCTCTCTCCATTCACTCGTGTGTTTGTAGCCTTGAAGCTCTGCTGTTAAGAATAGAACATTCCAAACAGTATTCCTCACATGTTCCAAACCCTATGAAACTCTATTAAAGATGCTAAATGTTTTCTTATATTTCAGTTATTCTTTTTTCCCTTTGGTACGTTTCCCGAATCATTTGCAATTCTTTCCGAAATGCTCCTTCTATAATTTGTTGTCAGACCTTGTCATTGCATTACATAAAAGAAAAACTGTTTCAGAAGACCAAAAACGAATGAAATATAACATCAGAAATGTTTACATCTGAGATCTGATTGTTTATTGGTTGATCTAACGATTTACATATTTATCCTATAAGAAACAGTGATGTTTTACCTGAGATCAAATTATCAATTCCATCTAAGCGCACCTTGTTCCTACAGAGGCCAGTAATGACATTGTCATGTTTGCTTTGTGTGAGATTTTATTATCGTATTTGATTGTGTTAAATGGGTTTACGATATCTCCTTATATCGACCAAAGAGCCCTGAATGTAATCGAAATCATATCTCTGTAATATCAGCAAATATATCCAAGGAATCAATATAATATGGTATTGTAATGAAACTAGATTTACACCCCGTCCATAAAAACTTCCCACCTCTTTAGCTTCTCTGCACAGCCTGATGGATTGTTTGCTTTTGTCGTCCTAGGTGTCCCTGAAGGTAGCAGCAGTCACAGTGACATGGTCAGGAAAGGTAATCACACACCGTGCAGAGCTAACACAGGAGCCCCTCCTGAGCTGCCCAGCAGAAAATGACTGAGGGAAATGGAATCGGAGAAACAAGGGATGGCTGCCTCCACTCCCAGGCCTCCGGGGACCTGGAGCAGTCCAACGGCATCGAGAAAGTTCAAGAGATCAACAAGTGTGAATCCGAGGAGAGGGGGCAGAGAGGTGGAAGCGGGGGCTCCGTGGCTGTGCCGGGAACAGTCACAGCTCCAGACGGTGGCTGGGGGTGGGTGGTGCTGGCTGCCACCATCGTAGTGCTGGCTCTGACCCTGGCCTTCCCCTCCTGCGTGGGAATCTTCTACACTGACCTGCAGAATGAGTTCCACGCCTCCAACAGCGAGACCTCCTGGGTGCCCTCCATCATGACGTCAGTGCTGCACGCAGGAGGTAAAGCTGGCAGACCATAAACTGGGCTCTGTTTTATTATTTCCTCATCTGTCATTTATTCCTGTATACTGGCGGTTTAACAATTCCTCAAATTCATGGCTTAACTCAGACCTCGATTCCTGAGCCATGGTTTCTACATCTGTATTTTTTTGTTGTTGGCATTTTTGGGCAAGGTTAGGGGGTGATTATTGTTTTATTAGATCAACTACAAGAAAATACTCTTATCGTGGTGCCTTAAAGGCTTTCAGATCATTTATATTAAAGGGGCCCTTTTGGGGCTTTCCATTCCCTTTAGTGTATAATATAGATTTTGTGCATGTAAATGGACTGCAGAGGCTAAAATCCCAAAGTTCCCTCCAGAGGGAGTTTCTCTCCCACACCCTACAAATTAGCATAATGGGGCCCTTAAGAAATAAGTCATCCTGAGGTAGATTAACTTTTTTAATTGAGTTCACATAAACTAACTTAATAAAGAGGAACATTTTACACATCGCTGACGATTTACAATTAGTTTTAAACTTGCAAATTGAACATAAAGTATCCAGAGAAGCGAAAGAGTAATTCGATTGAATCTATTATTGGATGTATCCTCTCTGGATATGGCACAGACGCATGCAGACCGTGAGGACCTTTTACTCTTGAATGACACCAGTGAGGTGGAGACAGTTCAGGTGCAGAGATCCGCCTCGCAGTAAGAGCTGAACAGGTATCTGTCCCCGTGGCAACAGCTTGGGTAGGGGGAATGATACACACGTGTTTATTAAAGAATTTAACATTTAAGTTGCCCTTTAATGCCTCGGGGTAACTTTAGCTCCTACCTGCTGTTGTTGTCCAGGGAAGCAGTGAAACTCGAGAGAGAATTTGTGCGTGTTTTAAACTGCCTTGCTGGGTTCGTGTTGATTTTGAAAGGATTATTCCATGAGAAACTAAAGTTTGGTTATTACCCACAGCTCACGTGGACTTTAATATGCTCAACATCACGACTTCAGGGTTAGAAATAATAATATTCCAAACTTTAATGTGACACTTAGTTACTTTTAAGAGAAAAAGCGATGTCAAAATCTTGAGGATTCATGTTCTGGAGCTTTTTAGAAGACTTTTAGGAACGTTATTCATATTATAAAATACAAAAATCTAATTTGCATTATTTCTGATGACTCACTTTTAGGTAGGTAGGCAAGCTGAACTGAGGCCTCTGCCACTATCATTGAAAAGATACTGATACAGAAAATAAACATAGACTATTAAAAGCTTGTGTTGTATTGACACAAATGTTTATTCAAAGAATAGTATTCTTTTGTCAGTGGCGCACACAGCGCTATCTATCTAAAGTCAATATAGAAGATCAAGCTTTTTATTTTTGGCAACATCTTGTTTTCGTCTGTGTGTGAAGCCAAATGTAGATTAGGTGAAAAGCAGGATTGTGTGCTGCTGCAGACTTTCCTTTAGATAGCAGTTGGGCCTGGAGAAGATCATTTCACAGGAAATCCAACCCTTGGACAGGAAGGAATGTTGTTAGTCTGACACTCGAACTTAGTCCAGGAACTTTCTATGTTTAAAAACAGTTTTTTCAAAGTGTCAGTGGATATTTTGGTGGTAGGATAGATGCAAATAATGCCAGGTATTACCCAATTATTAAGTGCAAAATCCACAAAACATGTGTGAAAGTCATTTAAAACTTAAGCACTTTAAACCTATAAGCACATCTCTACTATACTTATCCAATCTAAACTAAAGATTACTGTTAATTTTGTGAAACTGATTTAGGTAGAGAAAATCAGTTTCACAGATCTGTTGATTGTACTGTATGCGTGTTGAAGGACTTAGAATTTCTTTATGCAAGGACATTCCTAGTTCGCAACGGCTGCATTTTATCAGATTGGTTTGATAACTTCCATCCTCTTTCTGTCACATCTGGACCTGCATCAACTGTTAAAACTAGTTCAAATCATCATTCTTTAAAATTAGTGCCCTGTGTCCACACACATAAAGCAGTGAAGTGTAGTTTGTCTGTAGGCGTTGCTCAGTAATTTGCTCCTGCACCCTTTTTTTGTCATACGAAGTGATGTGGCAATATCAGTACCGGTCTGTGCAATCTTAATGCTATCGCACTACTCTAACCTGATCCCCACCATTTCTTAAAAGTCAACAGAAAGCATGTTTTTGACTCCTTTTGGCACAAATCAGCAATGTGTCATAAACATGTGTTGATTTTGACCCCTGAATTCATCCATTCAACTTCTTTTAAAAGTATTTTCTTTATTGATAATGAAAATACTTATTCAAATATAGCTCAAATCGAACATTCATTGTACAATCTATTCTATTGCATCAAAGTTGGCTTAGTCTTTTGGAAATTACAAATCTGAATACCAAGGAACCATAGGGGGTCACTAAAGGCACACATTCAGTTTTTTGTATTTTATTTTAAAGGCCATGTCTAGTGATTTTTATTATTATTTCTTACTGTCAACAAATCCCACAAATAATTCCAAAACAAACAAGTTATGTGTGCATTCTAACGCCTGATATATCTTATTCATATGTGTTGTAGAGTTCACTAATGTCCAAATATGTCGGTCATTCGGCCCCAAATACTCACTTGAGTAGCAAAAGATGGATTATTGGTTGCTGAAAATGGTCCATAACAAATTCTCCATTTCCTCCTGTTTGGGTTACATTTGAAAAATAACTACAGTGCACAGCAGAAATTACTGAGCCTTTTTAAACAGAAGATGATCAATTTTGATCTGTTTGTAAGATGTTTGTCTTCAGTACGAACCAGTGGCCTCAGGGCTGAGAGCCACAGTCTACAAAATAAAGTGAGGATCGATTGAGAGATGTTTTAATATTTGCATGGGATTTGTGGACTAAAAGAACATATAGAATTACACCAGTCTTATCCTTTAAGCTGCTGCATTCAGAGCAAAGTAGAGGGACTTTTTTATTCAGGAGCTACAACAGGTGGGTGTGTGAAAATCGCACCTGCTCGAGTTCTCATGGTTTTTGGACACAGGAATGCTTTGATGTTAGACATTTTCCTGAGCTGACAGAAATCTGACTGGAACATAAGATTTATCTTTTCAATGAGCTGCATAAAGTTTGAGCAGCTCTTATTCCGATATCCCATCAGTGATTGAACGTTACATTTAAGTTGAACTAAAAGTCGAGTGTACACACAATAAAATGAGCAGATACAGAGTATTAAAGGAATATTTTTGGATGGTTGGAATTAGGGGCCTGTTGAGCTTATTAAGCATAGTAAGAGTAATACCTACAACAGATTGTGGTTGGCACACCCCCAGTTTGGACAAACAGAAAGGAATACCAGTCGAGAAGCTGTGAAATGTACTGCTGTGGACAGCAGCAAAACAATATATCATTTGATGTTTAAACTATATTTAGGATATTATGTCCACTTCACCTTGCCTTCAGATTGCCCCTTCCGATGAGGAACTAAAGCTGTTCTGTGCTTTCGTCAGATCTACCAGCCCCAATACATAAAAACTGTCACTCACAGAACACGGGAGATTCTTATAATGGGTTTCATTTGTAACGCACTTCATATTTGAAGTCAAATCCCGAAGTGCTACAAGCAGTGAGCATGGAACAATATAAAACAGCACACAACACGGTAGAATGAAGAGTAAAAAACAGTAATATAATAAGTATATATAACACACTAATGGAAAGGAAAACCCCTAAAAAGCACAATAGGGCCCCTTTAAACAGATATTGACTTTCATAGATGGCTACAATATGTTTTGCTGCTGTTCCCCCATCCACAGCAGGACATTGGTTAGCCTCATTTCCTTTTCTACTGCCTGTTTTGGGAGTGCACACCTCTGTCTAGTGTTGGTAAAACCCTGACTATGATTGCGTACATCATACAACCCCAACCATCCCTTTTAATAGTGTTTTTTTCCCATCCTCTATATTTGATGCTACTTCTGCAGACCTTAGTCTTTAAACACTGAGAGGCTCAGTTTGGTCCAGGTACTATCCCCATCAATACCTTGCAGCCCTGTTGCCTAACAACACAGGCGTCGGTTGAATTTACCACCCCTCGTTGTGACCTTTAAACGATATATCCTGCTGTGTTCAGCACTGAGAATTCAGGAAACCCAACGTGTAACTTCCTCTTTATACTCTCTCTAAATATGTATCTTTGTGCTGGTATTTTGCAGTCATTTCCTTCTCCATCTATCTATGTATTTTCCCTGAAATGCATCATATTTTCACACAGTTATATAGGTCACCAAGCTAACTGCTATACTTAAGCTATAGCCCATGTACTCACACAAAGTAAGTGTTCAGTCATGCTTTCAGTGCTTCCATTCAGCTGGTACAGATTACAGATAAACACAAGAAATGTTAATGTGAGACCTGCTGACCTCTCCTCTGTGTAAGCCTGATTCTGCTCCGGTATGTATTAAACTAAGAGCATTACATTTGATCCACAGGTCCATTTTGTAGCGTGCTGGTGGAGAGACTTGGTTGCCGGGCGACAGTCATGTTGGGCGGCGTCCTGAGTGGGCTGGGAATGGCTGCCAGCTCCTTTACCCAGTCCATCGAACAGCTCTACGTCACAGCTGGGGTTATTACAGGTCAGCAAACCGTCCACTGATTTATAATCTTTTCAAATGTTCACTTCCTGCCCGCCAAATAATAGCATTTAGAGAATAGCTAATATCTAGCAGTAACATATACAGCATTTTCCCTAGGAGTTGGTGGAGACCAAAGCTGGACAAAAAACGTGTCTTCAAATTATACTTATCTGTAAATGGGTATAAACAATTATAATGTTTTTAAGTTTAAAGTATGTTGGAGTAAGTTAGGTGGCCTTAAAAATAAATTAAAGAAATACTTGACCTGGAAATGATCATTCATATACTAATAAGAATAATCTCATCCACTGTTACCTTGAGACATGTTTTTCCTCGACATGTATCCACAATTAACAAAGCATAAAAGACTCACTCAATTACATTTGATTTTTTTTAGCCCATTATTATAAATTACACATTTGGCTCAGGGTGTTTTTGAACAGTTCTCTGTCCTTAGACTCTGCAGGGTACAACGAAAACCCCAACAATTAATGGGGAAAAAGTTTGAAAAAAACAGATGAGGATCCTTCTCCCCGAAGAGACAGACGTGCAATAGGTGTATAGATTAAAAGATAATACATTGGCTGCTTTGGATTGAAGTAGAAAGTCCAATATTGACTTCTCAGATGTAGTGGAGTAGAAGTATAAATTAACATAAAATGGAAATACTCAAGACAATGTACTTGATAATTCCACCACTGGCTGCATCTATTTTCTACTGCACATTTTCTTTACATAATCTTGTAAATCAATAAACACAATGTCATACCTGATGTTGCTCCATTCTGAATGTTTTTCTCTCATTTCAGGACTGGGTTTCTGCTTCAGCTTCCAGCCAGCGGTGACGATCCTCGGTCACTACTTTGTGCGTCGCCGTGCCTTCGCCAACGCCATGTCCTCCACGGGCACAGCGCTGGGACTTTGCACTCTACCTTTCCTGGGTAACTACCTCCACACAGAGCTGGGCTGGAGGGGCAGCTTCCTTGTTTTGGGGGCCGTGCTGCTGAACTGCTGCGTGTGTGGAGCGTTGATGAGGCCCCTGCAGCCCCCCAAGCATCGAGGCCAGCCGCTGATGAACCATGGTCCCCCTCCGCCTGAGGAGGAGAAAGTGACGAAGGAAGAAGGGTGGATGAGGAGGATATGGAACTACTTTGTGGCTGCTCTGAGAAAACACATGGCGTTTGATCAGCTCTGCCACAACTCGCGTTACTGCGTGTACGCCATCGGCATCACCTGGATGATGCTGGGATTCGTGGTGCCTCTGATTTACCTGGTTCCCTATGCCACGGCTAACGACATGGAGCAAGGCCGCGCCGCGCTGCTGATCTCCATCATGGGTATGGTCAACATCGTGGTGCGGCCGCCCTTCGGCATCCTCTTCAGCATGCCCTGGTTCAAGGGGCGACACATTTACGTGTTTGCCTCGGCGGTGCTGGTCAACGGGCTCAGTAACACTATCTGCTGCATCGGGCCCAGCTTCCCCGTGCTGCTCGTCTTCGTGGTCTTCTACGGGCTGTCCATGAGTGTGGTGGGCTCCCTGATGTTCACCGTCCTCATGGAGATCGTGGAGATGAAGCGCTTCCCCTCCGCTCTGGGCCTGCTCGCTGTCATGGAGAGCATCACGCTGCTCATCGGGCCTCCACTAGCAGGTAGAGTGGGGGATGGAGGGGAGAGATAAGGGACCGGGGGCACATTATAATCAGATGGTCTGGATAGGATTTGCCTCAGCTGGATTTAAAAGCCTCTGGCAGATTTTAGTCTTTGGTAGAAACAGTTTTATTATTGAGAGAGCTGCTCTGAAGGAAGATTTATTGGTTGGGTTAGACGGCAGGGGTGAAACCCCCAACACCTGCTGTGTCCTAATTACATACTAGTAATGTACTGCAGTTAGAGTACAAGAAATAATGTACTTTCTGTTTTGAATTGGAAAATAATGCACACATCAATCAACAATGTTTTGATTCATCATAATAAACTGACCACCATCTGCAGTTTGAAAACCTATTTCCTTTGTGCATTGCACTATGGGTTTAAGTGCACTTTTCTGCTGCTAGGAATCTCTTAATCCAAACAATAACACAAGAAGGAGTTTGCTTTTGCATTATGGGAGTTGCTGTCTTCCTCATCACTGGCCTCATTACAGTCAGCTCTCCATGTTAGAATTCTTCCAACGAAAAGAAATTGGTGAAAACACAAAAGACAGATTTCATGTTTAAAATGTGTTTTTACGACTCTTTTTGGCGTCCAGTTCAGTTGTATAGAAGTCTATGTTAAACACCGGTGTTCGCCCGATTGTTCTTGACGTTCGATCTCCTTTTTTTCCTGATTTGAAGATCAACACCTTTGACGTAATTCAATAATCCAGTTAAAACATAATGCAGCAATTGCAAAAAGAAGAGCGGTTGTCAAGTCTATGAAAAGATGACAAAATCCTCACCTTGATTTATTACCTTAGTAAACACTGTTCCTGCTGAGCTTATGGTCCTGGATTTCAAATGTCAAAGCAGTCACACCTTAAGTGACCTTAAGCAGCTGTTTAAATACTGTAATCTTGAACTTTTGATCAGGAAATGATGTAACGGTGCAGTGCCATGGTCAAATAAACGACATTGCCAGTTATGACGAACCACATGACGTCATGCGGTTCCCGGAAGAAACAAATGGAAAAAGAGAAATGTCCAACGAGGCGTTCTGGGGCAGCATAGACAGGTATTTTCTGTGTTAGAGTTTTACTCGCTACAGGGTGTACTTTGAGGGTTTGTGACTGCAGACCGTTTACAGGCAGAAACACCTTCATAACACACAAGGGGACTGGTAATAACCAGAAAAGCATGACATGGGACCTTTACACTTACAAAGCACATGAAGTCAGATGACCTGCATGTGTGTCTGCATGTATTTTACTGCCATGTTTGTGCTTTTGTTTGTTATGAGAATGGCAATACATGTAGCAATAGACAGCTCCGCCCCTCCTGCTCGAGGTTGTTGCTGTAAATAACATCGTCATACTCACAGTTAAATGATCCGGTATGAAACAAGTCTGTGCCTAATTCGGGGTATTCATGTTGTGGAGCAAAGCGGGGAAAGGGCAGAGGCCTCCTCGTCTCAGATGACAGGTATGCTCCATATTAGTCTCAGTGCTCTAATAGCCAGGCCGTGATGTAACCTCAGATACGAGTCAACACACAATCACACACGCTGGGAATCTGACTGGGGTCGCTCTTCCATGTGGTCCCAGATCACTAGTGGTGGTTACACAACTGAACAAAAAGGATTAGGTTAGTAATAAAGAAAAATACTTTATTACAAAAGAAAAACATTTTATTTTGTGGGTCAACAAATTCTTCATAATTCCATAGATACTTTCCTGCAATATAACATACTTTTTTGGTATTAATTATTGTGTAAAAAAAAAGGAAAGGTTTGAGACGAATAAAAAGTATAATAATAATAATAATAAAAACTTTAATATTTAAAAATATATATATAATAGTTTTTTAACGTGAAAATTAACATAAAAACAGGGAAAGTCTTAGACATAAACAAAAAGCAAAATAAGATGGAAAATAAAACTTAAAATAAATAAAAATTAGAAACAAATATTGTGGAGAAGAGAATTCATTAAATGCATATCATCGTATGGAAATTGTATTTAATGATGAAAAATAAAGCAAAACATATATAAAATTAAATATACTTGAATGGCTAAAAACTATAAAAGTTAAGTAAAATATATATTTTTCTAAGTGTTAATGTCAGGCCTGTTGTTGGGGTATTATAGTTGTGCTGAGTTTAAAAGCCAAAGCTTTTTCCTGAAAGAGCTTCTCCATTTTCATGTGTGCAAATATGTATTAATCATTATTTACTCACAGTTGTAGACCTCATTTGCTTGTGTTGAAGAATACATTTGCCTGCAGACACAGTTAACATGTTTGCATACTCAGCTGACAGTGACTAACAGACTGTAAATCAGTTACTACCTCTTCGACCTGTTTGATATATTTATTTAAAAGGTGGAGCCCTGTTATGTTTATACATTTCTACCATATAGACAGCTGGGGGAAATGAATGACTGACTGGTTATGATTGTTTGAAGTTGCTGTAACTGAAATAAAAACGAGTTGAACAAAACTAAAATAAATCAGAAAGTTGAGGGATTGAAAAACTAAACAGAATTTAGTGCACCAAAAATATGTTTCAAACATTTTAGATTTTCAAGTTTAAGGAAGGAAGAAATACTCCATGCCTAAACACTTGTTTTAAAAAATAAATAAATAATACTTTGGGTTTGGTATTCCACTATGACTCCTGTTGTTAAAGCACAACCATCTTTCCTATCCTTTCATTCATCTCTTGCCCTAGCAATTCATTAAAGTATAACAATTCTACCCAGGGTTCGAGTTATAAACTGAGCTCTATGGGGGTCTTTAAAACTAACGCGTGCGCAGAAATGCATTGTGTGTGTTTTATTGTATTACACACACACACACCAATAATAAACATATGGACAGGGGCCATTTTGTGTGCGTGCGCGAGAGAGAGCGCGCACCGGTACCGGAGATCGTTGTTGTTAGCTTCTGGTGCTAGCGAGCTACGCTAACGGATATAAGGAGTTTTTTCAACAACAAGGTGGAGGAGAGTCCTCTCCTGTCAGACTGAGAGACTCGGTGAACTAAAGGACTCTCTCAGTGTTATCTCAGTGGGGCTCAAACGTTTTGGTCACCATTAATGTAAACAATTATTTCCGAGGCACATGTTTATATGATCATTATAGTTATACAAAAATAAGAGAATAAATTAAAAACGGGTATGAAATACTATATGACATTAAAAAAAGAATAAAGTTTAAAAGGGAGTGATTTGTAAAATATCCATAAAGAAAAAGTAAATCTGTTTACAGTTCTGTTTCATATGGGTGTTGAGAGATGTATCCATAGATCTCTTCATTTTGCTCTCAAAGTGCACCAGATTGATGCTTTTAACTTCAATATTTAAAAATCTTCCTGGGGGACTATGCCCCCGGACCCCCCTATGTGAGGTCCAGACACCACCTATAAAAATAGCACTTTACCCCTGCTTACACCTATATGCCGTGAGCTGATATCGAGCCTTCATTGTAACGGTTGCGGGTACACTGTGTGTATGCGTGGAGAGTGTTGCAGTAGAAAGTTCCACTGTAGCGCCCGGTACATTAATGGGAAACCCTAAATGTTTGAGCACCCTCTATGAAACGTCAAGCTACCCCACAGCACCCCCAAAATAAATCTGACAGAAAAAGTTTGAGAACCACTGATGTAGACAGACAGTCACCCTGTGTGAGGCAAACCCACATTTGTGCAGCGTTGCGTTCACAATACAAAAAGAAAAAATCGCCAGGCCATCGGGACACCTCCCGGTCCTCCCGATGGCCAGTCCGGGACTGCCAGCAGCCCTCTTGCTACAAACTTAAATATGAAAAGGTTCAACTACGCACAAACACATCATCTAGGCTTGCGCAGCACGCTCACAGGCATAGATTGTAGGTGCAGTGCAGGCATATTGTTATTCAAGAGATGCGTTGTTCTTTTGGTAAACATGTTTTTCTTTTAGCCTATTTACCTCGTTAACGTAAATAATACTCATTATATTGACACATGCATTATTTGTGATTAAAATAATGGTTGTTGGTAATGTATTAGCGACCCCCACAGATGTATGATTTCACGGCGTCCGTGGGAGCTGAGACCCCTCCTTATGGGAGCTCAGCTCCCATTGGCTCCCACATAACTCGAACCCTGATTCTACCAAATAACACCGTCTTAAATTGTTTGTGTATTTACCAAATGTTCTTTTAAGGGAATTATACAAAAATATAAGACCTTTTTTAAACAAATGTTACCCATAAAAGACAAAACATAATGGATGATGTTTCTTGTTGTTGTAGGAGTTCTGATCGACAGGACGGGCGAGTACTACCACGTATTCTTCGCCTGCAGTGCCGTGGTTGCCTCCTCCGGTGTGTTCCTCATCGTGGCGTTTAGCTGGCTGGACAAAAGGGACAGGAAGTTGTCGAAGCAGGGTCCCCCGTCCCCTCTGCCTGAAGCAGCCAGACCTGCTGTGGACCTGGCTCCGGACTGCCAGTACCGCAGTGTGCCCACAGAGGGAGACAAAGACAAGGCCTCGTGTGAGGGAGACACCTCCAGCGTCTGAACCCCCCCCCCCCCCCCCTCCTCTAACACACATCACAAACTCAATCAGCTTTGCAGATTGTTTCCGGATGTTTGCACCAGCCAGCTCGGTGCTCCAGATGTTGCACTGTTTAGGGGTAGTGGTGGTCTAATGGATAGTGAGGTGGGCTGAAGATTGGAAGGTGTGAGTTCAAATCCCGCCTGGAACACCACCACTAGTGTGCCCTTGAGTAAGGCACTTAGCCTTTAGTTACTCCAGGGAGAATGTCCCTGTAATTGTAAGTCGCTTTGGATAAAAGCGTCAGCTAGATGTAATGTAATGTTTACTTTCCTGCCATCTGGTGCGCCATAAAAGTCAAGACGAACCACAATGAATAATTAATGTTAGACAACCTTTATACCAAAATGAACAGATGTGCACTTAACAACAGTGATTGTACTATTTATTGCAAATATGCTGCTGATCCTATCAATGTGATCACACAATCTATCTTACATGAGGAATCTCACTTTATCAAGCCAAGTTACATACATGATCCTTTGTTGAAGAAATCACTGAATGTTTGCTGGTGTGTTTTAATGATGATAGTATATGATTATCAATAGGTCTGATTAGCTGCTGTTAAATGATACAGTATAACACACAAACTAAGTAGAAATATATAAATGGGTGAAAAATGATGGCAAACATAGTGGAGTGAAGTCGCTCCCTGAGTGCTTCAATAAGAGTTAAAGAAAAATATGGTGTGATTATTCTATATTTGTCCTAGCTACCTAGTGTAAAATAATTTCTGGTTATTTCATTAAATGCACATTTCTTTAAGGATTTGGGCCTTGAATGTGCAATAAGAACTCATATAATTCAGATTGTACTACTCCTCCACTCAGTGCCTCAACATGATGACCACCTAAAGGCCCTCATCCGCTATCAGGATAAATATTTATGTTGAACAATATTTTATCCCAGAAGAATATTGCAATGAACTTTTATTTATTCAATTTCAAGACCACTTTATGCAGATGATAATATAACGGAACAATAAGGCAAGCTCACCATTTAAAAGAGCTATTAATGCCAATTCTTAAGAATATTCTGAAATTGGAATAAGAATGTAAAAGACAAATATTTTTCTAAATAAATAAAAGATCATAAAAATGAATGTACTGTTAATAAGAAATATGCAGCATCAGCTTAATGCCCAAATCTTGTTATAATAGGAAAAAACCTTTATTCTTTCATATGTTAAAAATGTTAGCACCATTTATTGTAAGCAAATGCATGTAAAACAATATATCGAGGTCATGTCCATATATTGTACAAAAAAGATATATATTCAGGTCCACATTATGTATGATTAGTTGATAACCTTATAAGTGACACTCCAATACCAGACTGGCACGGTACCAGTTGAGCGCTTTGTTTCAATTGAAAAGATAAAGCAGCACATAACTTTTGTGCAAACGGGTCACAAATATATCAATTCGTTTTTTATGGCCTCAGTAATCGGCTACACACCAAATATTACTCAAAGGCAGAAATCATGCTTTTGTTGGGACGACTTTTAGCGGTGGATTATTCCACATTTCTTCCTTTAGTTAGAAATGTGGCAGCAGTTCAGTGTATGTGGGATTGAGAAGAATATAGAATATCATCCTATGTATCCTAGCAATAGCTTGAGACGTGTAGGCCTTTATCGGTCAGGAAGAAGAAATAGGTTAATAAGTGTTTGACATGTTAAATATATTTTCTTCAGTGTTTTGACATCTTAAGTAGGAATGTGTTTATCTTATGTATTGTGGAGGCATTAAACACTGTATGCTGAGCATAACACACATATTTATAGTCTGCTTTAGATCATTACATCTCTTTGTTGTTTACTGTCACATGTAGAAAAATGAACATTTGTACTGTATAATCATGTTTGTTTAGTGTTTCACATGCTTTCTTTCCTTAATGGAACAGTGCCTTTTTATAGAACTGCTGCATTTAAACCATATAAAAGTATGGAGCCCTCTCTTGAGGATAGAAGCAAATTATTTCATGTTATATCATTTTCTTGAGAGGAATGTTTTGTATGGCACTAAGGAGTTTTATCACACTGTAACTGAGTTTACCTTAAATCCTAATCAGAGATTGTATGACAGACTTATCTTTTGATAAACGAACCAGTGAGACTGTTTTGTGTCAGATGTGACTGAACATGTCAGGTGTGAGTTGAAGTGCAGTAAACAAAAAGAGACGTTTCTCTGCAATGACAGGATTTATGTTAATTTGTCAAGGCTAGTATTGCTTTGGGCCAAATTATACCTTTTATTATAAATTCTTTATTTATACATTTTGAACGGGGGTAGGGGAGAATAAATGTTTGAATATTAACGTTTTTCTCTGTGTGTTTTATTCGGTGAAAATCCAAACATGTATTATGTGCATAAATGCAATCATCAAAAAACAAATCGCCCCTTTCAGGTCAGTGCTTTCATCCTCAATATGTTAAAATGTCTTAGGGCACTAAATCCACTTTGAGTGCTAAATACATTTACCAGCTGCAAAATCAATGTAATGTGAATGTGATAGACAACAATAGTTATAATATAAACCAATAATAACAACTATCCTGAAATGCATTTGTGGATAAAGGAATATATAAGTTATATCAATTAAGTAAACTTATAAATACCACAGTGTAGAATAACTGTTAAAAAGAAGAGTCATGCATGTAAGCTACTTAAATTAAAGTGTAATCGTCAACATATTTGTTAAGTTCCAAATGTAAAATAACTAATTTTGCAGCATGTCCCATTTTGTAATAATAGAGGAATTCATTAATTCATGTTTTCCCCTGGTTTGAATACAATCTGATCCTATCTTCGCCTAGTAGATCAGAATTTCGATTAGTTGATCGAAAGTAACTCAAAGTTACATGTTACTTTCCATCACCCTACGTCAACACTTCATACCACTTCACTATAAAAAGTGACCAACCACATTGAATAGATGAATACAAAATAAAAAAATGAAATAAAAAAGTGGCCTACTGGTACTTCCAGTATTTCTGATGCTAGGCTATACTTCTGTAGTTTCACTTAATTATGATTTTGAATATAAAAAATGATCTATCAGTTAAAAGTAATTATGGTTCATTTTCTAAAAAGTCTGCTTTACTAAGTAAATACAGAGACTATGGTTAAATATTTAAGTACTCCAGTTCTTCTACATCAGCTGTTTTGAAAGATGACTTCTCCAGGAACACAGATGAGAACTTCCGCCATCTTTTGGCCATAATGTGTAACGGCTGCTACTCATCGACTATTCTCTTGTCTTTATACATCCTTGGTTAAAGGAAGTACACATGAAAGCGTAAAACTGAAGATAAGGCTATGATTCTATGCGCTATGTCGTGTAATGTCGCCTTGTTTCATGAGAACGGAGACGACGTGTCCGGAGACGGTACTGATGAAGCATACGTCACCCATCTGAAAGTGAAACTAAAAGTAGCCTATAGCAGTTAGCTAAATGGGGACTCTGTGAGGGGAAACACACGGTAAGTCCTACAAATACACCTTATTACCTGAAATATATGGGACTATTGTGTGCCACAGGTTTGTTAAACGTATTATCAAACAGCAGCGAGGGCGTAAGCAACCCTATAATCTTATCAATAAGTGTTTTAGGAGTTATTATCGAACACTAGCTAGCAGGATTAACACCACTACATCAAAAAACTATACAAAAAAGTTACGAATTCATAAAGTTATGAGGGTTCGTTAAACTAAACGTAACGGGGTGTATAGTAACATGTTGGTGATATTGTTGCAGGCATGCTGTCAGCTAACATAATTCATATTTCTGGTTTTACTCAGGTTAAATGTTAATTAGGCACTGAACAACATATATTTCTACATAATGTTGTGTTTATTGTGAGAGTGTTATATACTTTTAATATTTAAGTACAATAAGAAATGCATTGTGTTTACTTAATTGCTATAATTGTATCACACACACATAGGCCTACAGTACAAACGCCCAGTGGTTTAAAGTAGTTTAAAGTACATTTACTCAGGGTACAAAAGTACTATTTTGAGAAACTAGTACTTTAACTAAGTATTTTTAAAGGTCCCATGTCATGCTTTTCCAGTTATTACCCGTCCCCTTCTGTGTTATGTAGCTTTTTCTGCATGTAAACGGTCTGCAAAGTCACGAACCCTGAGTTCAGGCTGAGTTTCGCGATGTCTCGTTGTCTCGCAGACCCCACGCAGCAACCAGGAAACGACACCAGTAAACTTTGGGATTAGTTTTGTATCATAAAGATAAAGCAACACTTTCTCAGAATAAAGCAAAACTATGAGTTTAAAAGAAGAAAAAAACGGAGTCAAGCAAAATAAATAAATTTCAAAAATAAAACTAAGTTGCAAACAAATCATTTGTGTAATCATGTAAACTATAAGTATTTTTTCTTTGTTTTAACTTGTCTTTTTGTTTGCAGTTCTTTTTGCTTCTTTCTCAATGATCAGACTTTAGCTCTCGCTACAGCTCTTCTCGTTTGCGCTCCCTCATTTTTTGTTTTAGATTTTGACACAAACGTCCAATGTAATAAAAAAAGTCAATCAAATAACTAGATTCCTATACCGGATCTCCTCTCTGGTAAACAAAAACACCCTGAAAACTCTGGCAGGAGCACTCATTCAAGGGTACTATGACTATGCTTGCACGTCATGGTACCATAGCACCTCCAAGGCGCTAAAAATAAAACTTCAAACATCGCAAAATAAACTGGTCAGACTACTGCTTGACCTTTCATCTAGAACCCACCTCACTTCTGCCCACTTTGACAACCTAGGATGGCTTAGAGTAGACGACAGAGTACAGCTACTTGCAATGGGCCTGGTCTACAAGATCCACTACACCTCTATGGTACCCATGTACATGTCAAAATTCTTCCCAAAGGTCAAGGAATACCATGATCATCATAACACCAGAGGGAGCTCCACAAATCATGTGAAACCCAGATTTGGCACAAAAAAGGGGGAATACACGTTTCGCAATTATGCCACATCAAGGTGGAACGCTCTTCCCACAACTGTAAAGAAAGTAAAACTATACTTACCTTCAAAACCTCTCTTAAAGAGCACCTTCGGGGGAGAGCATTGCAAACTGGCCCCGGTAATGGTACAAATCTCAACCTGTCGTTCAATGGACAGCTTCCCCCCCCCATCTATGTATATACTCGCATTTTAGACTCTGTTACTAACTGTATATCTGTAGACTTGGTATGTCTTAAATGTCCAGTTAGGATGTATTAGAACGAAATCTAAAATGAAAATTGTAAATAAGCAATCTGTATGTAAAAAACCACCTGTATGTAAATTGTAAATAAGCCATCTGTATGTCAAATATGTCTTATATGTCTTAAATGACATGATGAATTGGAAATGGGGGACCCTGATGTAAACAAGACGAAAGTCTTTCTCTGGTCTGCATCCCCTTAACAATTGTATGTTTTGAGCTGTACTGTACTGTACCCAATATACAAGCTGTTAATAAACTTTTCAATCAATCAATCAACCAGGTGGGCGGGACTTTCAGGGGGGACTCCCCATTGGCTACTCAGCTTTTGAGTGACAGCCCACTACATCACAGATCATACAGTGCAACTCATGCAGCAAACTCCGGAGTCCACTCGGCCACGTTTGGCTCCTGGGGAGTTTTCATGAACATATCGGACTTATCTTATGGATTGCTGTGCATTATACTTGTGTTGTGTAGTTTATACATTATTCCAACTTTAAATATTTGAATACCTTCAACAATGAAGGCTAATCAGCTCACGGCATATATAGGAAGGATAAAGTGCTATTTTTTTATAAGTGGGGGGCGGACCAGCCTCCTAGGGCTGAAGTTAAATTATATATATTATATTTGAATAATATATTGTAGGGCCATACCTATATAAAACATGTCTGCGAAGTTTTTTTTTCAAAATACCAAACAGATCATGCATTTTAGCCATGCCTCATTTCGCTCTATTTGCTCTTTTTTAGCCCTGTTTTTGCAAGGGCTGAATCTGAGAAGTCTTCTTCGCTGCTTTTGTGGCAGACTACAGCGCCACCTACTGGCATATGTACTACGGCGTCTCCAGCGCTTTCGAACGGCAATGGCCGTGGCTGTCTCCTCCTGATAGGTGGAGAGTTGCCCCTATAGGCGGAGCACCCCTTTTCTGACGTCAGAAAAATTTAAATAATAATCGGCTCCGTTGCAGCCCCGTTTTTAGAGATTTGGGTATGGAGGAAAAGAGAGAGGGTTGTGTTTTCTGACACTTGGTGAGTTCCCTGACACACCGGGGAGTCGGGGACACATATTCATGTATAAAAGACGTATAAAAGTGCATTTTGCATGATAGGTCCACTTTAAGTACAAGATGAGTACTTCTTTCACCTCGTCAAACGCCCAGCACACATGGACTTATAAGACACCTTAAAAGTAGTGCAGTAGTGAAACATTAATAAACATAACTTCATATATAAGACTCTGTATATTTGCATATGTTTCACAATGTATTGTTGCTAAACTATAAAGTTGGATACAAATAGAAAGTACAAAAAAACTCAGAACTCAAGTACAGCTCTTGAATAAATGTTACCTGTTTCTTTTATATACTGGCTTCACAATCATTGTACTATATATAACAGAAACTTTTTGGTTGTCTTTTAGGATCAGATTCAGCCTCTTGCAGTCTGGGAAATGAAGGAATTGGCAGCATGTGGATTGGTCATTCTCCTGTTCGACACGGCTCTGTGTCTGGCTCTGTGGGCCGTGCTGGTGCTGCTGAGCTGCTCCAGTTGGGGTGGCCTGCCAGGCGTGTGGGCCTTTGGGGCAGCAAAGTGGGCCGTTCTCCATGTTTTCACTTCAAAACTGACTGATGGAAAGCCAGAGGGCGTGCTCCGCAGGTTGGTGGCTCTCCTCTGCCTTCTCTCTCCTGTGTTTGAAAGTGGACGGATCCTCATGGCGACCCCCTCACAGCCTTACACTGGACCATCTCCTGACCTCAGCATGCTGCTCCTGGGCCCCTTGTCCTCGTTGCTGGCCTGTGTGGTTTGGGAGGAGGGCCTCTGTGGTGATTCAAAGACTAAAAAGGACAACATTGACCTGGATGCCAGGCGGCTGCTTGTCAGGGTGCTGAAATATTTCAAACCAGACACCCTTTACTTGATTGCAGCTTTCAGTTTCCTCATCTTAGGAGTCGTCTGTAAGTATGAAACGTTGATATTCTACAGTATATTTTATATGGTACACGGGCATATATGCCTTCTTACAGTAGCTGTCAACACTGCAATAACTCTATAATTAAAATGTCAGAAGAACAGAGAAACTATTGGGGC